CGCTATATTAGTTTCGGGCATGTGACACAGTGATGTGTCACTATGCTGTGCCTTACATCCCCGTGACCATTTTGTGTTTCTTAAGAAATTATTTGTTTTCAGTTAACAAGTAACACATAGATTCATCCTTGTTGTAAAAATCTGAACGGCCGAGGTGAGCTGGGGCCCCCTGACCACTACCCTTCGGTGGGCTTCTCTCCTAGGAAGTCACTGCCGTCCGGCTGGTGTGCTTCCTTCCTTCCGTGTGTGCTGATGTGCATGTTCGTGGGCACCTGATTTATCTTACTGTCTCTTATCATAAGTGCTGCTCCCTCCCTGCTTTCATTTTACCCAAGAACCCGTTCTTTAGGGTTTTTACAGCGCTGTATACTGACGTTGCTCGTTCTGTTTAATTTCTTCTGGCGTAATGCGGCAGTTACGCATGCAGTTTACTCAGCATCTGCCCGAGAGTGGTTGTTTCTGTCTTTCTGCTATCACAAACCTCGCTCCTGAGACCACCCTTTGATACGCCTCCTCGAATATGCGGACCAGGGCTTCCTAGGGGCGAATAGGAAAGAGTGGAGCTGGGCTGGCAGGGGGTGTGAGACGCTTTATGGAAGAAACAGACAAACCGCTCTGCTAAGGGGTCCTGCGAACCACCTCCGGTCAACACGTGGGAGGGAGTGCGTCTGCCCACAGCTGTTTGAAGCTTTGCCAGTCCGATGGGGAAGAGTGACTCTCCCGGCTTCTCCTGGCTTCTCCCGGCTGCCTGAGTTGAGTCGAGGGTTGGGGAGGGAGCCCAGTGCTGTTCACAGTCCCATGATCCACTTCTCCTGGCCAGATCCCTGGTGCCCCAGTTCCTGAGCTTCTGGGGTTTGTGTGGACAGTCTGCCTGTTTTTGGTGGGCAGATTATTTACTTCTGTAGCCTAGCATCGTGCCTGAGGAATAGGGGATGGGGACTTGGTACATGTTCCTTGGATGTAGGAGCAGGTGAGAAAATACCTGGAGCATCTCCTGCCCGTGGCCCCCCTGGGAAGGGGATGGTGTCGGTTTACATGGCAGCCAAGTTCATGAAGTCCCGCGCACTTTCTCCTTTCTCTCCTCCAGCTTACAGATCTTGCTCTGTTCACACACATGAGTCGTCTCCTCTGCTAGGCTGAACTCTGACCTCCCTTAAATGAGGCTCATTCATTTGAGTGACCAAATGAATGACTGGTATCCGAGCAGGGACAATAAGTTAGGACCTCGGTGGGTGATAACGATGCCTTCCCAACTCGAGGACTCTTTCTGCAGGTCCGGGGAGGAAGGTATCTTGATGCCCATCCCGTGACAGGAGGGACTGTACTAATGGTTTGGACTGTAGCTTTAGGGATTTAAAGATGTGGGCTTGAACTCTGGGTCCCTTACTTGTGTAACCTTGGTCAAGATATTAACCTCTTTGAGCCTCAGCTTTCTTGTTTGTTAAATGGGGATGGTAATACTTAGCTCGCATGATTAGTTGGGACAATGTGTATGAAGTGTTCAGCATGGTGGCTGGCACAGGAGATGCTGGCTGCCATCATCGTCACCTTCGTCACCATTAGCACTGCCATCATTATCAGCACGGGCATGACCACACCACTGCCTTCTTACCCAGGGGCGAGGACGCTCATTCCCACCTCTTTCCGGTGGTTAAAACTCCCCTACCTTTAACCTCCACCCTCTGGGAACTGATCTGCATCAACTAAGTGTAAGAAGGTTCCAGTGTAGGTCCAGGTGGAGCTGCAGAGACTGCCCTGGGTCTCAGGACTTGGAAACTCATCCCAGCCCCGCTTCAGTTAAGTAACTGAGGCCCTTGTGGCCTCAGGCAAGTAACTTGACCTCTCGGGGCTCCTTTGGGCTGGATTTCCTATAATATGTGGATGGTGCTCTTCCCAGTAATTCTCCATCCGTAGATCAAAACAATTTTAGATTTATTTTATATGAAAATATTAAAATGTGAAGAAAAAAAGCTGTAAAGATGGTCATCATAGCACAGCATTAAGAGCAAAACTGGTAATGATCTAAACACCCGACAGAAGGGACTGGTTAATTCGGGGGGTGGATTATTAACAGTTGTTACCCGACAGAAGGTTCTGTGGTGCAGTACGAAGCAAAGTTACATCATAACACTTGCAGTGGTAATTAATGTGCCATTTAACAATAACATCATATAATAAAGTAATAACATTGAGTGCTACTGCCAGGCCCCGCCATGGACTCTTCATGAGCACCATCTCATTTACCCCTTAAAACAGCCCCACAACATAGGCTGTTATTATTGGTTATTAGCTCTGTTCTACACGTGAGGGGCTGAGGTCTCCAGAGCCCTTGGTGCCACGCACCGTGAATCTCTCTGGGAACAAGCACTGTTTCTGACCTGGTCTGGCAATGGCTGCCCTTCCACACAGAGCTCTCATGCACACTGCGGGGGCGCTGCAGAAGTGAGCTGGAGGAAGGCCGGGCAGGGTCCTCTCTGGGTCTGTCTGAGCTCTAACATCCCCTTTTTGGCATTCCTGACCCTGGGTGCCCCTCCATGGCAAACCGGGGCCTCCAGCCTGGAGGCTGGGGCTTGAGAAGGGAGCTCCGGGGGTCAGGCTCTGCCCTCATGCAGCCCGAGGCAGGTCCGAGATGCCTGGCCATGGGCAGTCTGTTTACTGAGTGGGGGCAGAAGCTTGGCTCTCAGTTCCCTACCTGGGGAGCTCAGCCTGCACAGGTTGTCCTCCTGGGCGTTTGGTATGCCCGAGAGGTGTTCAAAAGCCACATAGCTCCTGGTGGAAGGTGCTAGGCACTGTTTGGGCTACAGAGCCAGGGCTGGGGGATAGTCCCAGACTCCGGCCTACAGTTCAGTCGGGCTGACTGCTCTTGGAGTTGGCACAAGATTTAAGGGAGCAGGGTGGGGTGGAGGAGGGGAGCTAAAGGAGTTGTTTTGGAACTGGGACTTCCTTGGAAGGGACAGCACAGCCTCTGTCACACTCAGGAACGTATGCCAGGGGCTGAGGGTCACAGGGCTGGAAGCCAGACTCTGTCACTCCTGGCTGTGGACCTCTGGCAAGTCACTGTCCTCCACCCTGGGACTCTCTATTTCCTCATCTGTAAAATGGGGGTGGGAACACCCTTTCCCCTGGGCTGCTGGGAGGGTACGAGATTTGAAAAGCTTTTGTAAAAGGTACTATACTACAGTTAATTGTCCTGATGGTTATGGCCTGGGGGTAGAGGGCTGGGACTCCAAGCCCCTCTGAAGTTTAGGGGGCTCACAGTTCCTTAATGTTTAGGGCAGGACTGTTGGTTCTGTTCTTTGTTTCCTAATGCAAAATCTCTTTCCAGACCCTCCTATCAGGCCAGAAAAACAGACACTCTGGCTAGGCTTAGTGTACATAGCAACTATCTGGCCCATCTCTCCTTCCCCCTCCACAAGGAACAGGCCTCCTCCTTTGGGCTAAATAAAGAGTGACTCAGGTCAGACCAGCCCCGGTGGCTACGGGCTGCAACCTTTGTGAGGCTCAGCCACACCCTATGTTCGCCTTTTCCCCATTGGGGACCAACCCACTTGCAGGCCCCGGTGGCTAGTTTAAACAGCCTGAAGCTGCCCTTTGCAGCCGCTCAGGGCTGCTCCTGGGGGTGGGGGTGGGAGTTTGTGTGGGGTTCCCTCTCCCTGTTCCCGGGCAAGTTGGTGGGTGGAAGAAAGTTTCTTAGGGGCTAGTTTCCGAGTCTGGGGACAAGTCTTCCTTTAGCCACAGGTGACCCAGATGATCACACGCAGAGAGGAGGGCTGATATTTCACCGGGGACACTGCGACCTGGAGGTGGGGAGTGACTAGCCCGTCTCCCTAACACCCTGTCAAAAGGCCATAGGGGCCTCTGTCCTGAAACGGGTGACTGCTCTGACTTGAGGGCAGATGGAACTTGGGACACTTGTGAGGGCTGGGGTCCCTGGCGTCAGTAATGGGCGGAGGTGGTGGCAGTGCCCAGCAGCAGGCCTGGCCCCTCGGACCGAAAGGGCAGGTGGAGCCGTTGAGCTGGATGAAGGGCAGGGTTGGGCTGTGCGTGGAGAGGAGGGCCTCCTTCCTCTATTATTAAACTTCACTTTGCGGGCATCTTCGCCGAGGCCCCTCATCCACCCCTGTACTAGGATGAGGTCATTAGGTACAAGGACTCAGCCCCTGGTACCCCCCCCCCCCCTCTTCACTGCTCACAAGGAGAGAGGGATTCCATTCCATTTTTGCCTCTGGGCACTAAATGTCTCATGGGCAAGTTACTTGCCTCCCTCAGCTCAGATTCCCGGTGGTGGATCCCTGAATGAATGCAGCCTTTTTGGGAGCGGGTGGGGTAGGCTGCTTGCTGTGAGTCCTGAAGTGAGGGGTCAGCCCCCAGGTGTGACAATGCTCTTTACAATCCAGCTGCAGACCTGCCCCCAGGTGTCTATTATCAGCTTGCGGCTTTGTGTGGGCACAGCAGGGTGGGGCAGCTTTGTCTCAGGAGGCAAGCAAGGGTGCAGTTCAGAGCTTCTGTATGGGGTCAGGGGCTGAGGGACAGCAAGGGGCCGGTGAGCCCCAAGGGGTGGGCCCTGAGAGGCTGTAATTCTGAGTAGGGTGTAGGAGTCCGGTAAATGTAATTTGGGGGGGTTAATTATGATCACAAGGAAGGGGCTCAGGATAGGATTCTAAAGGGGGACTCTCACTGAGAGGGGAGGAGTATATTTTCTCAGAGGGGCCCTATTTCCTGAGGGGTGTCAAACTTGTGGTGATATTAACAAGGGTCAGAATGTGAACTGGGAGGGGGTGTCTCAGTAGGTGTGTGATGGCGGTGAGGATGGCAAGGAGGGGGCAAGTCCTTGGGGCTCCAGAAGTGGCTGGGTGGGGCACCAGGCCGCAGGGCAGAAGCCTCTGGCCCCTGGGAGGGGAAAGTTGGAGGCAGAGCCACCAGGAACTGACCAATGGGGAGACGGCCTGTGCTTGCACTCTGGAGCCTGCAAATTCCTCTGGGCTCAGATATCCACCCCGACCTCCCCCCTCCCCTGGGCCGCCTAGGACATAAAAAGCTCCAGGTGCGAGCCGAGCTACTCCTCCTGCAGACCACAGGTCCTTTGGTGTCTCTGCTTCCTCTTTCGCCATGACTTCCTACAGCTATCGCCAGTCGTCGGCCTCCTCGTCCTTCGGGGGCCTGGGCGGCGGCGTCGTGCGCTTCGGAGGGGGAGTCTCCTACCGCGCGCCCAGCATCCACGGAGGCTCGGGCGGCCGTGGCGTGTCGGTGTCGTCTGCCCGCTTCGTGTCCTCGTCCTCTGGAGGCTATGGCGGCGGCTATATGGGCACCGCGGTCGGGTCCGACGGGCTTCTGGTGGGCAACGAGAAGTTGACCATGCAGAACCTTAATGACCGCCTGGCCTCCTACCTGGAGAAGGTGCGCTCCCTGGAGGCGGCCAACGGCGACCTGGAGGTGAAGATCCGAGACTGGTACCAGAAGCAAGGGCTCGGGCCCGCCCGCGACTACAGCCACTACTACCAGACCATCGGGGAGCTGCGGGACAAGGTGGACAACGACGGGACGCGGGAAGCACACCTATCTCGCAACCCAGCTCGGCAGGCCGGGAGAAGCGGGAGGCTGGGGCTGCGGGGCGCCAAGGCCACTTTCGGGCGGGGCGGTAGTGAGCCCGTTAGGATGTGGGAGGGCCGCAGGGTGGGGCGGAGAGAAGGGAGCAGGTGAGGAAGTGCAGGACAAAGAGGCAGGAAGTGGAGTGGGGGTGGCTGGACCCGGGCTTAGAACTGGGGGCCCATTCCCCACTGGGGTGGGGAATGTGGCAGGGGCGGGGTCGGAGGGTGGGGAGACCAGGGAAAAGGGGTCCCTGAGGAGTGGCAGGACGTGAAACACGGCTGTGGGCGGTCCTGAGGTCTAGGCCAGGTGCTGCCGTCGCTGCAGGAAAATGAAGAGTTTGGTCAGGGAGGAATCTAGTCCATCCCGGGCTAGCCCCGCCCCCTGCTGTCCCCGCTGCTCGGGGTTGGCGGCAGGGGGCGGGGCGGGGGGGGCCCTCTGCATTCCTTTGACTGGGCAGGTCTGGTTTCCATCATGCTCTGGCCTCTTGCTGAGGGGCCCAAGGGACAACCTGGGAGTTGAGAGAAGCTCTTAGGAGAACTGGAGAGGCCAGCAGGGGCCTTGGCACGTTAAGAAGGGACGTAGGCTGTGGACTCTGAACAGGATAAAGGAGGGACAGATGAAGAGGTCCTGGGGAATCTTTGCTTTTGGACGCCTCTGTCACTGGGAGGACCCGGTAAAGCAGCACTTCTCTGTGTCCTGGGCTGGAGACCCAGGTCTGAGCCATAGGCGCCTAGAAGGGCCCTGGGAGCCTGCAGGGTGGGGCTTGGTCCCCACCCACAGGGAAGAGCTTGGAGCTGTGCCCTGAAGAAGGCAGGGGAAACCAGAGGGCTATTTAATGGCCTCACAGGCTGGGTCTTTCCACAACACTGCCCAGAGTGCAACCCGGTGTCTGGCAGGGTGCTGGGTGCTGGGTGCTGGGGCACAGATCACACTGGAGACAGGGAGGGTGGCCTAGATGACCACTGTGCTTTCACACTTCTCAAATCCTGACCTAAGACAGGAACCACGTTTTAACATGTGTCCTCACATTCTCTCATGCACACACACAGTGGAGCTAAAAGTTTCTTGCAGCCAGCCTTACCGTGAGCAGTCCCTTCTGATATGTTCTGTCCTGTTTCATTGAAAAACTGCAAATCAGCATGCAGCACAATGACTAAATAGATCATGAAGTGAGTGTGAGCAGCTTAATCAATGGTGTGACCATGACGCTCAAGTTAGAGGAACTCGGCATTGGGGGTTACCTTGGACAAGGGATCCTGAACTTCACTTCCCACCTGGGTGAAATAGGTGTATCCACTGCCCCGGCGTGAAAGATGAGGTGTAAGGTGCTCAGCAAATGACAAAATTCCCGTTCCTGAGGCAGAGTGCTTTGGGTGGGGCTTGCAGACAAGGGGCAACCCTGGACAGTTCCCTGCATCTGGTTTGCGTGTCACTACAGACAGCCTCCCTTGACACCATGTCGAGTTCCCTGGGCACAGGTCTCAGAGACTTCCTCTCCAGGTTTACCTCCCTGGCCTCCCCTGCTCATTCCCTGCCCCTTGGCTCAGCCTCCTGGGCAGTGGTGAGAAACCACTGCTTCAACTCCTGGGCAGGGACCGATTCCAACACCTCCCAGGGAGCAGGCCTGTGGGCAGTGGAGGGGTGGCTGGGGCTTGTCTCCAGGGGGCGACCTCATGCTCATTTGCTCTGCTCTGTCTGAGAAGAACGTGCTGTGCCAAACTGCCAGCCTTCTGTCTTCCAGATTCTTGGTGCCACCATTGAGAACTCCAAGATTGTCCTGCAGATCGACAATGCCCGTCTGGCTGCGGATGACTTCCGAACCAAGTGAGCTTCTGTGCCCTGGTGGGTGGCAGAAGCTAGGGTGGGAGCGAGGGAGGCAATCCCAGGCCCTTTTTTGGGGCTCAGTGCAGTGGGGGGCGAATGGCCTGCAGCACACTCTCACAGACCCTGGGCCCTGGGGGTGAGGAAGTCTTCAGAGGTGCAGAGGAAGTGCTGGCCTGACTGTGGCTTTTCCTCTGAAAGGTTTGAGACGGAGCAGGCCCTGCGCCAGAGCGTGGAGGCCGACATCAACGGCCTGCGCAGGGTGCTGGACGAGCTGACCCTGGCCAGAACTGACCTGGAGATGCAGATTGAAGGCCTGAAGGAGGAGCTGGCCTACCTGAGGAAGAACCACGAGGAGGTGGGTTTGCAGCTGGGCCACCCCAGCTTCCCAGGGCTGAGGACATGTTTGTGTCCTGAATCCTCTGACCATGGCCACACTCAGAGGAGTCTAGACCAGCATGGCCGTAGGTGTGGAGGATGGCTTCCAAGGCTCCAGCCGGGGATGGTTGTGACCCATTTCATCCTGCAGTGCCAATTCCCAGGCCTGCACCCGAAAACCAGCCCCCTTTGGCCTGAGAGGTTGGGGAGTTGCCTGGCCCAAGCCCAGCAGGTTCTGGGTCCTGACATGCCCATCTCTGCTCCATCTTTCCAGGAAATCAGTGTCCTGAGGAGCCAAGTGGGTGGCCAAGTCAGTGTGGAGGTGGATTCCGCTCCTGGCATTGACCTAGCCAAGATCCTGAGTGACATGAGAAGCCAGTACGAGGTCATGGCTGAGAAGAACCGGAAGGATGCTGAAGCTCAGTTCATCATCCAGGTATAAAGGGGGAAGCAGGTGCCCTTTGGGGAGGTGGCCAGGCGAGAGGGCTTGATGCTCCTGGGCGGAGGTCTGACTCAGGGCTCGTTTTTCTGCCTCCTCCCTTACTGCAGATTGAGGAGCTGAACCAGAAGGTCGCTGGCAACACGGAGCAGCTGCAGACCAGCAAGACGGAGGTCACTGACCTGCGCCGCACCCTCCAGGGTCTGGAGATTGAGCTGCAGTCTCAGCTCAGCATGGTATGTGCCCGCCTCCCTGTGGGATGCACACTCCTGTCTTTGTAGACCTGGCTCGTCTAGGCAGTGGCCGGGCCCATGCCCTCCCTGGGAACCAGGCTCTGCTGAGTTGTGTTTTCTCTCCCTGCCCTCAGAAAGCCGCCCTGGAGGGCACGCTGGCGGAAACAGAGTCCCGCTTTGGAGCCAGGCTGGCACAGATCCAGATGCTGATCAGCAGTATCGAAGCCCAGCTGACTGATGTGCGAGCTGACATTGAGCGGCAGAACCTGGAGTACCAGCAGCTCATGGATACCAAGACTCGGCTGGAGCAGGAGATCGCCACCTACCGCAGCCTGCTTGAGGGCCAGGAGTCCTATTACAGCAAACTGCCCACTACCCTGACCCTCTGAGTCCAGCAGCCTCCCTGGCTTCCTGCTTCTAGCAGAGGCATGGATGCTTCTGGGTAGGCGAATGGGAGGGGTGGGACCTTTACCTCTAGCTCCTCTGACCTGTTAATAAAATTTTATAGCCCAAGGGAGGAAGGACATCGGGTTTATTATCTCAGCCCATGCAAATGGGCCAGGCGTTGGCCCCGTTCTAGGTTTTATTTGGGTCAGAGTCCACCCTGTCCCAGAATATGGAAAGGTGGGTGCGCACAAACTCCAACTGTTAGTGTAATTCCTGTTTGCAGAAATCTTCATTAACCTGTTTCTTAAAACAAGCTTATGAAATAAGTGCCACGCCCATTTTACAGAGGGGTGAACCAAGGCTGGGAAAAGTGAGGCGGTCTGTTGTGCTTATAGCTGTTCCAGCACATGGCAGAGGGGGGACCGGAAACTGGTTTTTGTTTCCAGATTAGTTTTCTTTTAACTGTACCCCTCTCTAAGGTTGGTGCTGGTGTGGGAAGTTCATGTTTACTGCACCTGTTGTGTGCCACTTAATCAAACCAACCCTAAAAGTAAGTGTGAATGGCATCTTACAGAGCAGCTTGTCCCAGGCTGCACAGCAAACACAGGGCAGAGTGAAGACCAGAGTCTAGGTCTCCTGACCCGTGGCCCACAGCGCCACTCTGGCGGCGGCACCAGGTCCAGGATCCACTCCACTTGTGCCAGGTTCTTGGTACATTTCAGCCTTGCCCCATGGGAAGGCCGAGGACTGGGGTCCCCTGGGGCGGTTCCTGCTGACACATTTTTTCACCTGAAAGGGAATGTCTGGGGCTGTGGTGAGGCTGCATCCTGGGGGCAGAGTGCCTGCTGGCGGGCATCCAGTGCAGGCACTAACACAGTTGTCCATTTCTTGGGTGGTCCCACGTGAACCCTGCACGCCCACATCCCATACCTGGGCCCAGGGCCTGGATGGGACCCAGATGTGACCCAAACCTCCCACACAGACCCCCAACCTGGCTTGCCTGGGGCCGGGCCAACTGGAACAGGAGTCCCAGCTTCCAGGTACAGCTCTGCCCTTGGGTGGGTATGGCCACGGCCCTGTGGTTTGTAGCTCAGTTGCCAAAAACAGAGGCCAGTTAAAGGTAAATAAGTCCCGCTTCACCCTGGCTGAGAGGTTCAAGCTGAGGGGATCTGTTCTGGTCCCCTAGATTTGTGACAGCAGTCCTACCCTGTGAGGGAGGGGTGACGAACCCCCTACCGCACCAAAGGTCTGTAGGGGAAAGGAATGCTCCACATTGTGCTAAAAAGGCCCGTGACCCTGTCACTCCCCCTGCTAGTCCTGAAGGTGGCGCCCTGTGGGCCTCAGAGGTTTATTAGTGAGATACAAACGACAGGGCTGGTGACTGCTGCGCCCAGCTCTTCCCTCACCTGCTGCGGCCCTGGGCCAGGAGCCCTTTCTGCCACCTCCCCAGCTGTTCTGCTCTGGCTTGGGGCACCCACAGCCCCCTTCTCCCACTGAACTCCAGAGGCCTTGGAACCAGAGGCCTCACCCCCAGGCTGGGATTGCCCAGAGGCATTTGTCCCTGTTCATGAAAGCCTCCGTTGTCACAAAGGAAACCCTCCCCCATGCCCCAGAGGCCCCAGGAATGTGGCTGCGGGGCGGGGCCTGGGTCCACACAGGTGGGGCAGGTGACTGGGTCACAGGTCTGGGTGCTGGGAATGAAGCTGTGCTTTGTGTGCATGAGTGGTGGAGAGAGGGCAAGGGCAGGGGCACTTCTGTCTCGGTCCGGGAGCTAGAACTGGGGGTGCTCTGTTGGTAGAAGTGGCTGGGATAGAGAAGGAGAGGGAGAAAGGGGGAAGCCTTTCTGTCTCTGCAGCTATGTGGCCACTTTTGTGGGCAGAGCACTTCTTGCCAACCATGTCACTCTGTCCCTGTGAGTCAGACTGGGCTGGAGTTACTGCTATTTCCCGAGTCGGCAGACTGAGGCTCAGAGAGGAAGCGGGACGACCCGAAGCCACGGAAGTGAGAAAGGCAGAATTTGCAGGCAGGGCTCCAGGCCCCAGTCTGGTCCTGCGCTCTGTCCAGCCTCTCCCTTTGCGGGGCGGGCAGTGACCATCATCAGATGCTCACTGTGGCCTTGCAGCTGGTGTCTGTGATAAGGCCTAACTTAAAAAAAAATTCTGGTAAAATAAAAAAAACATGCATTTTACCATCTCAACCATTTTTAAGTGTACAGGTGGGTGAAATTAAATGCATTCACATTGTTGTGCGACTGTCTCCACCATCCATTCTCATAACTCTGATAAAACTAAACCCTCACCTATTAAACAGCCACTTCCCGTGTTCCCCACCCTCCCCACCCCGACCCTGCAACCTCAAATCCACTTTCCATGTTCATGATTTTGACTACGTTGAGCACCTCACGTAAGTGGAAAGATGGCCCAAGTTTAAGTCGAGAACCTGACTCAGAGGTTTAGACACACCCAGAGGTGGAGGCCAGCTGAGCTCTTTCCAATGGGCAGCATCTCCCCATCTCTAGGGGCGGCCTGTTTCCCATGGACCAAGTTCTGAAACTGGCACAGCATCCTGGGGAGGCTGCAGCTGGGGCCGAGCCAAATGGAGCCCGACCTCCACCCTGGCCAGCCATCCCCACCTGGTGCTAATTCGCATGCTCCAAGGTCCCACCCTGACCTTGAGCTCACAGGAGCTACTGGGACCGAACCAGGGATTTCCAGTGGGGTGGGTGGGTGGGCAGCTACTGCTCTGCACAGGCCTGAGAGCAGAGGGAAAGCTGCCCCAGGGGGCTGCTGAAGGGGAGTCAGTGTGCAGAAGAGGGGCTGGCTGGGGTCCAGCCCTCCCTGGCCTGGGGGGAGATGGCACGTAATTGTTCGCGTGTTAATTGCTGGGGCCGTACTGTCTGCAGAGGCTCTAATGAGCTATGGCTGATCTGACTGATTATTTTTCTTTGGGAGGAAGACGGTATTGTCCCACCCACGAGACAATACCGCGCTGTCTGGGCCCGGCACTCAGAGGTCTGACTGACTGTGAGGTTGGGAGGAGCCCGCCCGCTCAGGCCTGCGGTCCCCCTCCCGGCACCCCAACTCAGGCGCATGAATCTGGGGTCAGTAGGTGGGACCCTCTTTTCCTGTCCTCTCTGTGAGTTGGGGTCAGAGGGCCCATCTGAGTCCTGGCTATGCCCCTGGCCAGCTGTGCCGCCTTGCCCAAATCTCTCCCCGTCTCTGAGCCCCAGCACTTTGCGAACTGTGAAGTGTGCAGTGGAAGGAAGGGATTACTGTTACTGAGGCAATAATAACAACGGCCTGAGTTGCCCCGTATGCACTGTCTGTGGGAGAATATGGAGCAGTGATGTGGCTCACGGGCATGATCTGATGTCCAGGGACAAAAATTCCTCCTGGTGAGGGTACTCAGGAGCCCCAGGTGATGGACATCTGTCCTTATCTCACTATCTGGGCTCTCAGAAGATGGGGAGCTAGGAGGAAGTGGGGGGGGGGTGGGTGGGTGGCTCTTGGGCCTCCGGGCTTCCCTGAAAGTGCCATCTGCTACAAGGAAAGTGAGACTTAAAGATTTCACAGGCAGTAACTAACAGAGGTGGGGTTTGAACGTTGGTCCGAGGGGCCGCAGAGCCCCGCAGTGCAGCTCTGGGCCAGGAGCCCACTCCTGACTCTCTGCTTCAGTCTTGCTTGCTCTCCCAACCCCTGTTCTTTCTGAGCCCTGCAGCTAAGGCCACGCCTCCAAGCAGCACTAGTCACAGGTCTCAGGTATCCCTGGAAAGCCAGGCCCTGAGCTGGTGGCAGAGAAAAGGGCTCCCCTCTCTGGCCTTAGCATCCTGCTCTGCGAAGTGGTGCCTCTGCCTTCGAGATCTCAGCCTGCATGCCAGGCCCCTATCTCCTTCCTCCCCCCCACAGCTCAGGCATGTACAGGCCCTCCCACTGCCCCCCCCCCCGCCAGCCTTGCAGCTTCACAGGACGATGGGGAGGCAGCTGGGGAATCTGTCCCTGCTGTGCAGTGACATGCCTCTCCTTGGCGAAGGTAGGGTCTTCCTGAAACTCGCCTCGGTCTTATCTGCTGAGGTTTGCCCCAACGTGTCCCAGGAGTAAGCAAAGTTTCAGTGACATGTGCGGTTGGCAGGTGGCGGGGTGATCAATCAGCCCCTTGTCAGCCCCGAGCCTGCTGGCTTTCGTGAGGGTGCCAGAGCAGTGGGGCTGGGGCTGGGGCAGGGAGAGGGGCGGAGGAGGAGTGTCCATTTGGTAGCGACAGCTGCTTGTGCCTTCTGGTCACCTCGGCTGGGACTTGACTCAAGACCCCTGCCCCAGTGCTCAGCCTGTCGCCAAGGGCCCTGCATCCTCTGACCACCAATCCCAGAGACCATGGGGGTCTGTGAGTTGGATGACAGAGAGCAGGGATGGGAACTGAGAACATGCAGCTGGCCAGCTAGGGGTGAGGGTCCTGGGCTGTGGGCAGCAGAGAAGTCTGGCTGAGGGCAGAGCTGGCCCAAGCCGCTCCAGCTGTGGCGTGATGTGACTGTGCTCCCTGCTACTCACTCAATGTGCGCACGGAGTGTAAAAATGAACCTGAAATCCAAGTGTTAAAACTATGGCCTGGGGCGAAACACCACTCGTTCTGAATCATCTCTTTTGTTGCATTAAAAAAAAAAGGAAGGAAAGAAAAGAAAAACTCAACACCAGCCACACCGAGGTGTACAGGCAGCTGTGTTTGTCAGGAATGCAGAAGGAGGTGGCTTCCTTTTAGGGGAGGAGACGTGAACCCACAGCACCCTCCACAGGGCATATAAGGAGCCCCGGGGCGGGGGGGTGACAGGCACAGCACTCTGGTTTCAGGGCAGCCCGTACCTCCCGCCACCATCTCCTGTGCTTTTGCTGAGACCCCAGGGCCTGGCCATGAGCACCGCGTTCCTGCAGGCTTCTTCCTCCACCTTTGGAGGTGGCTCTACCCGGGGGGGCTCCCTCCGGGTTGGCGGAGGAGGCTTTGGTGTGGGGAGTATCTATGGGGGAGGTGGAGGCCGAAGTATCTCAGCTTCTTCTGCAAGGTTTGTCTCCTCGGGGTCAGGAGGGGGCTATGGGGGCGGCACGAGCTTCGGCTTCGGTGGAGGGGCTGGTAGTGGTTTTGGTG